CCTGCTTTTTAAAGAAGACATGAATAAATAAAATAAATGAGGATACAATTAAAATGCTTCCCTTTGCGTTGAATTATAATATATGCCATGGTACATTATTCATCATCGAACTCAATTTAATGCTTACAAATTATTTGAAATGTTGTCACATGTTAAAAGGCGGCTTACGAGAACAGTGACCAACGATACCAAAAGTATGTAGTTCTTAATATGTGTCTTCGGATAAGTTATAGCAGGGTTAAAAACTCGGGGAGCCAATGAGAGAAACAAGCCGCGAGACCGACGTCTTGCGGGCCGCCAGTCTTGTGGGTTTTTGGTTGACTGGGATTTCTCCGTCGTCGGTCGAGTTTCATTCTTTTCGGAGAGAATTGCACATGTTCAGAATGACGTGGAATGCCCGTGAGCGATTGCGATTGTTTAAGAAAGGTTGAACAGAGAGGGAACGTTAGGAATCATAGCCAGCCGGCCGGTCAATTGTTAATGTGGTTAAGAGAAGAAATCAAAAGAGAAAAGGAAAGAAATGAAAGATGATACCAGTGGGGAAGATTAAACAAAATAAAACATAAAATAAGGACGGAAGACGACTATACCACCATTAAGTCACATTAAAATAACATTGCTATCTCACTAACTAACTATCCCATTTTAAGTAGGTGATACGGTGAACATTTAGTTGTTGCGTTGTTTACTGACATACGATAAAAAAAATATTTTAAACCTGATTTTCTCATCTTTTTTGTTAACAGCCATAAGCTCTGAAGTCTGAAAATGAAAATTAGCATAATAGCGTTGCAAAGTCTATTTTTCATGTATAGGTAAATTCGTATCTAGATAATACCTCATTTGTCAGAGAGAGGAAGTCTCATAAGAAAAGCAAAATTCATCCTATTCCACTCCCTGCATCCTGAATAATTTATAAAATAAAATAAAAGGCTTGTTAGAACGGACATCAGGCTATGATTTCCAGGGGGAAAAAGTAGAAGCAACAGTTGAACTATTCGTGAAAGTGTGTCGATGATTATCCGAGGCTTAATATGATTGACGAGAGTACTCTGTTCATTGTCGTCCGCCAATGCATATTGAATTATATAACCGACGTATCCCCCAATTAAAAATAAAAATCATAATTAGCGCTAAAACCATACTGTTAGGTCGTATGGTGTTTATCAAGACAAACACCCGCTTCGTTGTTTAGGTGCTTATTATCATGATTACATCATTCATCAAAGAATAGAATAAGGGGATGAGAATGGACATTCAGAGAACTGTTTTGGCAAGACTGCATCCTCACGTGGGAAATAAAGAATGACTGATGTATAGGTCATGGTGTCTGATATTTACCGGTGATTAGTTCTAAGCTTTAGCTCCAGTGCACCTGCCTTACAAGTGGGTCAAATACTGGACGGTTAATTGTGCATGGTGTACTGCAGGGAAGACGGTCTGTAGAGACTGTTGTGTAAGAGGAAATTGTATTGAGCTTTATCAGAGGCTCACCGCGGATCGTACGAGAGAAAATAGGCAGGTGTCACCTCTCGGGCTGACCTGCTCACTTTCCTCTTACTGGACGTGTATTGTGTAATGGACGATGTTTATCCGTTGTTGACTAGATAACGAACGCATTTTGTGTGTGGAGGATAATACACTAATGCTTTAAAGATAACAAATAGATGAAAGCTTACTTATCATGCTACAAGCCACACAATGATCATATTAACATGGTTAAGAAATATCAGAAGTATATCTTGGATTCGGGCTTGGATTATCCTATTAATATAATAGTCATAGGTTTAAAACTGAGAAGGGTTCATGCATTTTAGTAAGCACACCATTTTTAGAGGGTGATACGTAGCTGCATCAGAAACTATTTGTTTTAATTGTGGACTTAAACAGTTTTTCCTCATGACTTTATTCCAATCGAATACATATTTTCAAGTAAAATTAAAACAAATCCTAAAAAATATCTCTGACACATGGGTCGAAACAAGTTGTCTAATATTCATAGCTATACGAATCTTGCTCGCACCAGAAGAAAAAAAAATGCTAGAACCTTTATATTTTGCGAAATTTCTCGTTAAGTAGAATATTTTTATGCAAAATTCCTGTCCTACCGTTAAAAGAATAACTGTTTAGTAGCTGAATTATTACGAAATACATGTTGTTTACGCAATTCTACTGTGAGTTTCTCTACCTATGATGTGTATAAACACACACAATTTTTTTTCTCGAGAAAAACTTCAGAGACCCCTTTGTGTGTATGTACGTGTGTGTTTGTGTGTGGTATGGATACTATTGGCTAATTCTAGTCTGCATTAGAAAAAAAAGAAGAGGTAATTATCGTTGTGGTCCCAGACTACCATACGCTGCACCATCATGCCCTTGGGGAAAGACATGCAATTTTAACAAAATAAGGACATTCACCAGAATGTGGCTTCTCTGAGAAAACAAAACATCCCCTTTTAATATAATTATCAATTCCTGTGTGCTTTCTTCAACATTTTTTAAGGTTACAATTTTAAGCTAGGATACCAGTATATTCTATAATGATTAAACAGCGACAACTAAAACAGACCGTTAGTTTACAATTGTCTGTACATATATAGCTTGAATTGAGTTATAAGGGTGAAAGTGCTTTAGAAGATTAAATATAGATAGAGTTCAGATTCTCCAGTATTCATACTATTCAACATCCAAAATGTGAAAATTATACTCTTGAAGTTGCTTAATACGCTGTAAAATGATCCCTCTCAAATAGCTCACGAATAACATTACATTCAAACAAATATGTGTTTTCTAAGCACATAACCTTAGGAGGGGGGAGGGGGGAGGGGGGGGGGGGGTAGAATAATACAAATACAAAGCCGCTACCTTATTCCCATATTCCCCTGTCAATTTCATATTTGTCTTGTATCAGAGAACCTCAAATGTCAATTTCTGTATATCTTACTTTCGTAATTTTACGGTCATTAGTCTTGGGAATTGTTAAATTGGCAACATAGTGCATCTTGGCTGTGGCTGATTGAAGTATGGAATGGAATGAAGATTACTTTCAAATGCTGCTTCGTGCAGAGATAGCGTCATCGTGACTGTATTACTTCCTTCTTTTCCCCATAAAATGTAAATATTCGTATAAAATGGCGACTAGTTTTAAATATTCACTTTGACCGATATGTGCCAAATATAATTTGCCTTTCTTCTTTCCAAATATTTATATCGAGAAGTATTATCATCTTTTTTAACATAGAGTGAAACAAGTAGACAGGGAACTCGTCTCGATCACTCTGTGAAATATCTAAAAATATACATTTATTTGTATAACTCTGTATTGAGTAAGTTGAACCCAACATTGGCTTTCATAAGTCAAGTTTAAGAAAGGAGAAACGAGATTTCTTTTCTAAGCATTCTTAAACTCGACTTTAGACATTACTTAAACCCAGCGTCGGATTACATGCAATATTTGTGAAGTGGTCGAAGCCAGGGATGTAATCTAAGGCGTCAACAACATTTATGTCCAAAGTATAAAAGAAATAAATCCTCGAACTACCTGATAACTCTGGTTTGTATTTCATTTTTTATGAATTTTATGGAATTCCTGGCCTGTGTTATACGACCTGGAAACTACGTGCCTACTCTTCTCGATATAGAACGTCATGTAACTCAAACCTAATGGTATTTTAGGTGCCGATCATGGAAACAGCAAGTCGTCTTTACCTTTCTGAACTATCACTGCTCATACTTCAGGATACATGACTCTCAATGATCTCCCAATTTACTCCCTGGGGCTAGGTGGGGGTCTCAGGTAACCCGATTAACCATTCCACCACTGCGACAGGAAAGTAACTTGATTGACTGACAGTTTAGAACAGCGATACCCCCAGATAGAATGTCAACAGTGTTGACCTGAAGGAGAAGTTCTGTATCATATTCGACCTTTTCTTCTGCATCTCTTTCCCCTCATAGATTCTACGAAGTAATCAAATGAAGATTGGTATGGAATGTATCGTCAGAGGCGCCATTGAGGCATTCTTAACCTAAAGGGTGATATGTTGAGGTTTCCGATGATGTGCGTTTCTTCGAAATTCCGGTACGGAAGGAAATGAAAGAATATTGGTTGCGTAGATTAAAACAAAAATAACCTGCAAAGTCTGCCCCCAAGCAACACTTAAGGATACGTCGAACATTTGAGCAGAAATGATTAGATGAAATAATCTGCATACCTGAGTACACATTAATACAAAATATAAATATATATATATATATCTGTATAAAATGTGTATGTGTGATGTGCGTGAGGGTGTGTGAGTGTGAGTGTGTGTGAAGGTGGATGGGTGCGTGTTTTATCAGGTAAAACAGTGAAGAGGCGTGTTAATATATGCTTCAGAAGAATTAATAGAGGTTTTGAGATTTCATATACTTGGAAAATATTTGTAAACTTTCTTATTCTTTATATTCCTCTCTAGAATACTATTAAAAAAGCAATGTACCATGAAAAAAGTGAAAAAAGGTCTCTCTTCGAATGCCCCCATATTTCAAATATGACCAGATTAAACAAAAAACAGAACTACGGACAACGTTTTCGATGCCACATGTAACAGTAGTCCCATGTGTCCATATTCATATATGAACTTTTCAGCAAGATTGTATTCATACCGATGGTTCCAAAAGCTCACAAACTCAACTAAATAATTGCAGTAATTTTGTGAGATAAAAATACTATTCCCACTAAATTCTGGAACGCTTCTTTCATGATGCATGACACGATCAATACCTCAACATTTCTTTCCGTGTAGGTAGAAGTTTTGAAGTAGCAATTTTTGTATCTCTCATGGACTCTAAATGAAAAGTACATTTTAAGCTTGCCTGTAAATATTCTATATCTGCTTTCATGTAGACTAGTAAAACTTCACTTGCATCAAAGATATAGCACTGTAATCGTGCATACATTTTACTTTCCTGAAAAGACCTTGAATTAGATGAACATTCCAAATATCCCTTTACACAAGTTTTTTTTTTCCATACAACATTTAATGTAGCATTAAATGTAATGTATTTTAATTCAATCAATTCCAAAGAGTCAACAACACAAGACATTATGCGCTTACAATGAGCAATTGATATGCAGAGTAGTTGTAATAGGATTCATAGAAGATAAAATACTTTACGATCGTCGCTAGAAAATACTTTCATATAATTCATCTAATTTGAAATATAATATACATTTCCCTGTTTGAATATGGTGTGATATCCGTCCTGTAAACACGATGAAAGAACAAAGAGATCATACACACATATCTTTTTCAAAAAGATACTGAAATGATGCCAGAACAGCAACTTCGAGAAACATTACAACAGTCATACATAATGTTACGTTCAAGCGTTTATCAATACATTCATCAGTGTGGTTTGTTAGTGGTTATTCCTCGTTAAAAAGCACACAATTTGAGAAAATTGTGGGGTCACACCAAAATCACCATTTTCATTATATATAATTAATAAATATATCACTGACTATTTAGGAATATTTCTAACTTATGATTCCTAGGGTCCTTGATCAACCCATAAAACTGAGCGTGTCAATAATTTCAATTCATAATTCTTAAGCTACTGTATATAACTTATACACTAATACATATTTCCTTGCATTAAAAAAAACCCAGCTGTACACGGACATGACGAGTGGACAAGGATGTTACAAATCTGAATGATTATCAGAGACGAAAAACGTATTTGATATTTACTTCATCCTAGTGTTTAAAGAAAATAACGAATTAATTCGAAAGTGAAACTGAATGGACAGTATGAATTCAGTGATTGTTGATTGTGTTACACAATGTTTTGATGCGGTCCACAGTATAAAGCCAAACTTTGGGTCGATTCCGTATTATTTCTCTAATAACCGGTATTCTGGAAACAGGTAGGCTTCAAGAAAATACGAATCTGCATTGTAAGTACTCAAATTAACAAAAAAGTAAAATGTTTCTTATTTAAAGAATCCCTTGGGTTCTTTAAATTAATGCAATAGGTAGTCTCCAGCATCATTCCAAAGCACACGTGATTGACAAGAGTATAATAAGTAATGGTGTATGTTACAAATGTCGTGATCATTTCAAAGAAAAATAAATTCAACACAGGAACCACAGCAGACACGGATTCCAAATATACATTTATGGATAATCTTTGTTTTTTGTACAGCAACAACATCAAGATAGTACATATCTTAAGATTACAAGTACGGGAATTGTACTTCTCAGAACTGCCTCGAATACTCAGAATTGATCAGTGTTCAAGACTTTGATCATTGTCTATCAGTGTTTGTCAATGAATAGAACGTCCGGTTGAATAGAAAGCAAAAACCAGCGTTTACGTCGCGAAAATGATCTGCCTCAAACGTGCTCACTCATTCTTTTGTTTTCCTTCCATTTAATATTAAATGGGGAGAGGTTCCGTCATTTCAAAGTTTACTACACTATATTTGCTGCGTTTTCCTTCAAATCACAAAACAAAACCTAAGCGATGGCATCTCCAAGATTTCGTCCTGTTGTTGGCGTGGGTAACGTGCGTTTGGTGGCTCGATAAATCGTTTAGAGGTTGGAGCAAGTTAAACAGTGGTGGAGCTTCATAAACATTTCATGTTGAATTATGTTAATGCCTTGTTTTACATTAGTAACCCGAATAAAGTAAAATATGACAAACTACAATAATTCGCGGGATTAATGATTGAATTCCTTGGGTTCAACGTAGATTGTATAATCAGTACACAGTCCCGATGGTCGCTTTAATCAGTTCTGTTCTTTATATTTACACTCAGCCACACTTAGATATTCTTCAGGTTACTTATCTTCCGCAAGTCGAACAACTGTGGACACGATGATTATTTCAGAAAAAAATATTATATTATGCATTTTGTCGACCAGGTAGCGTATAATTATTTTCCACTTAATCTTAGCAATAAACTGTATGCCCGAAGATATCGAAGCAACTGACGTTGAAAGATGAAGGATATTTTGTATCGCAGTGCTTTCCGTAAGGAATGTAACTTTGAGAAAATCGACGCGAAATCTGCTGCAGAAATCACCTCTAAAGGCAACATAGCAAAAATATCTGTTTGCTTTCTCATGCATTGGCGGAGAAATCCAACTCAGAAGCCTTTCTTCGTTCGTAATACCTTGATAATGTTTGACGACCTCCCAAATATGAAGAATGTGTGAACACATTATGGCAGTACATTTTGGCAATAGTTTGTATCCATGACAATTCACAGTACTTTGAAAATCTGCGTTTGGATAAATGATTCACTGTTTCAATTTTACACAAAATGTCAACCGGAAAATCTTTCTGAATTCCCGGATCACCACGAGAGCAAGAGGGCTAGATTTCCTAACTCGTTGAAGTGGAGCGAATGGGTAACGCAACCTTGATGAAGCTCTTTACCTCGTAGAACGCTCATATTCGAATCGCGTGCTTGCGTTGTTGGTATACTTTGATTTCCTGTCACTGGACGCCTCTCCGTTCACATTCACATAACTTGGAATACAACAAAGGAATGTTTGGCGGAAAGCATGACGATACCGGTCGCTCATGATGTTATATATAATTGGATTGACAGCGGAGTTTGTGTACATCATTATGCGGGCCGTGTTGACGAGAACCCAGGTGATGTCAGGAGGAAGACTGTGCCGGAATATATCGAAGAGATTGAGCAGACGAAATGGTGTGATGCAGATGATATAGACGGTGATGGTTACAATAAGCATGCGTACAACTTGCTTCTTCATGCGCGTTGAAGAACTCCCTGCAGAACCACGCAGTGAAGAACTCTTGCTAAGGCGCTGTAGTTGGAGCACTATCAAGGTATAGAGGACCATGGTTACAGGTATCACCATGAGCAAGAGGAACTGATCTACAGTAAGCGAGAACCGAAAGCGACCACATGGCTTGTGTGCTCTTGGTAAACAATAGGAGCAGTCTACTTTGGTCCTTGGGTATTGATCAAAGTCGGTCTCGTTTGACGACTCGGGCCAGACCAGATTAACCTCGTACAAATCGGCGAAGATGATGGTGGGAATTTTGTAAAGACAGGTAAAAAGCCATATCAACCCGCATACCAATATCGCTCGCGGTCTCGTGCTCAACTGCTTGAATTTGTGGGGCCAGCAAATAGCAACGTATCGCTCCAGAGTGACCACGATGACCGTCAGTCCAGACACTATAATTCCAACATCGGTTGCAAACATGGTTATCTTGCAGTAAGGACGGCTGATGCTCTTGTAATCCGCAAAGACGGGACTCGTAGCGTAAAGAATCCAGAACTGCGGCACGGCGGCCAAGAAGAAGAGCATGTCGGCGATAGCGAGGTTGATCAGGTAATGATTGGTGACCGTCCTCATACCCTTGATCCGAAGGAAGACCACGATGACCGAAGCGTTCCCAATGACACCGATGATGAAGATGATGGGCATGGCAACCGTGACGAGAAGCCGATCCAAGTAGGAGTAGATGTAGAGCTGGAGAACCTCCTTTGTAATGACATATTCCAATTTGTCTGCAGCCATCGAACTGTTGGCGGATGCGTCACCGGGTCCAAGACTGGAGACGCCATCCTCTAAGATGGTCGCCACGCTTGGAAATGGACTCGTCAAACTCATCGTCCCATTAGTCACTACTTGCAAGATGATACTGTGGCAGAAGGAAATGACAAAGAAATGATAGGTATTAAACGATGTGTTGTTTACAACCCGTGAAGTTCGTGAACAATGATACAAATAAGTTGAAAAGAGAAAAGAGGTACAGCTATATGAACATACATCAAAAGTGATCTCATTTCTAAAATATAAAACTTGGCAAGTACGTTATATTGTTGCATGATCAGTGTACATGCACATCCAAGATATTATGAAGATTAGAAAGAAAATTTATGACCAAATACAAACGTTTTTGACGCAAACAATGCATAATTATCTCGACAAGGGATGTCGAAGTTATCCTGTGCCACCCTGTGTACTGCTTGTTCCTCAGGGTCCATTAAGTAATGAAACGATTTCTTTTTAATCGTTCAAACGGAGGGGATCTCCTGACAAACCTTTAAAGTAATAACGTAGAATTTAATTCCAATCTCCTTCTTGAATTTAATTTCCTCGTGAAAGCTTACCTTCGGACACTTTGTAGACTATTACAAATTGGAAAATATTACTGCCAAAATGTTACATAAATGTATTTCATCTTCCTCTTGAACATAGGAGATATTAAAGTTGATGTGATATCTAGGAAAGAAGTATACAACTCAACTCGCAAATATTATGTTCTTCAAACATTATCAGTTTTTGTAGAAAAGTATGTAGTAATATGCATAAACCTCTCATTCGCACGTGCACGCTATCTCATATCTCTGATGTACGAGGTCAAAACACAACTTCTTTATATATAATATTTCAGAACCTACTCTAACATCCCCAGCAAAACTGATATTGAAACACGCATGTTGAATAGAACTTCTCGCTATTCTTGCAACCAAGGTCCTCAGAAACAATAGCAGACAAAAATATGTACAGTTCATATGAATGGTTTGGTATATCATATGACGATGAAAAAATGCTTTCCGTGCAAATGAGGAGCAACAACCAATTTTGTAGTCTGGTAATTCAAAAAGATTAATGCACTAACAAGCGGCACGAAATCTGTGCACTACGTTGAAATCAACGTTTGATTACTTATTAATTAAAAAGTTCTTTAAAAGGCAAGGTAGAGTTTGCCGACAATTTAAATGTAGTCGTGATTTCAGTAGATCAGACGGCTACATCTAATCTTTACCTCTTAAAAGACTGGTAGCCTAATTTAGTAGCGCTCATGAAAATTATCAATTACCCCGTCCAGGCTTTTCTTGAAAAGGGGAAATATGAGCATTGATGCCTGACTGATATGATTCTGTGCTCTTGTACTGAAAACTTTAATAGTGCAACTTTGACGAGACCGATGAAACCCTAGACTCTTTCATATTGAAGATAATCAGTGTGATGCCGTTCAGATATATACTTTCCCATTTAGCACTAACATCATCAATTTTCCATAAAGACATAGTTGAAGTTTTATAACAAGCGACTCTGGAATACAATGCTTTTACTTAAAGGCACGATACATCCCGATGAACTTAACCTTGTATATATGGAGATGGCAGATTTCATTGATTCTATAGTCAGTAAGTTTTAAGCCCCAAACAGATATGACGCGGTAAACTGAAGCGGTGTTTTATGTTGACGTAATGTGAATTAATTACGCTTCACATGTCTGTATCTTCTACCATAGAGCTAAGGAAATACGTATAGGAAATTCGATGCTCGCAATTGCCGTTCCCTTGCACTTTAAAATAAAACCGCGGCATTTAAATCTGAACGAGCCTTCTAGTGAACATTAAAAACAAAAATGAAAATGAAAGAGGAGGTAATATATTACCATCTCTACTCGAAGACGAGACCACAACAACTTGATCGATTGGTACTTAACACTATTCTGCAAATGAACTGGTTATGCAGTATAGCGACGTGATATTAATGGTAATCTTGTCCTTCTTTCAATTCTAGCTTTGATGTGCACCTGCAACCCACTCAGAAAGCAAGGCAATCGATAGAAAGGGGCGGACGCGGATAAAAGAAGATGATAGGATTCTCGCACCATTAACACATTTCATTGATGTATCCAGATGTGAAGGAAAAGTATAAAACTAATAAGATGACAGAACATGCTGGTAAAAAAAGAACAGAGAACCATACCTGTACCATTATCTGAATGATCTACATATCCTTTCATTTTTTGTCTTCAATTTTTCCAGCAAATGAAAGGCCCATTACACACACTACAAACTTCTAACCAGAAAAAGATTAAAATATAGGAAAGTTGAGAGGAGAAAATGTCTCCGATTTTTGAACTAAGGAGAATATGTTTTGATATATCCCGAGGAGTTATACTTTCTCTTTTACGTTGTTGGCGTCATCGAAAGAAGGTGTATATCATCATCAGGAGAACTAAGGATTAGTCAACTGTTGTACCCCTCAAGACACGATGGTTATCACTATCACCCTACCCATCTTACCTCTACGGGGAATATGATGTCTAAAAATATAAAGAGGGGGGAAGCAGTAACAATTGCGAAATCTTATCATGTGACCTAGCCCCCCCCCCCCTCCCAACCCAGCCAAGAGCAAGGGTGATTCTGATCTCTTCAGGTGACACCATTGGGCGGACGAATGTGTCATGTTGGATCAATACGCCTCGCTGCATTTCGCCATATCCGGCACAACTTTGCCAACAGGAGACTGATAATGGTGCGGAAAGAAAGGTCAAGTACTCGGCACGATGCAAATACCACATCCCAGATCAAAGATACAAGTGTCGACGTTATTGGCTTGATCATAAAGGCCAACTATGGATCAATGATTTCAAGATATGGCGTCAATCTGCGGGGAGAGATCAGGATGAATTTATTTGTCTCTTAATTAGAAAAAAATCCAACTTGCTCATGCGACAGAAAGTGGATTGCGCCGATCTATAGCCCGAGGCAGACGAGCCACAAGAGATGGACGTGCTGTTTCAAGAAGACAAAATGCATTCGAGAAATGGACTTTGGAGGAGTAAAGATCATCTTATGAACCCCATTAGGATGATGAACTCGCAGTGGACTCTGACACTGACTCAAGCCGGCCATGCGAATTAAGGAAATTGTCGAGCATATGGAAATGTAATGAAATGCCCATCCGAGATTAGAAACCGTCAAGAGTAGGGAAGGGAAAGGGGTTTGGGGAAATGAATGGGCAATGGAAAGGCAATATGAATAGTGAAATGATCACAGGAATACGAAAAGAAAACACAATAATGTAAATGCAGTGGTAGATTCATAAAAATTTTGAACATGAAATTGATATGTTCCTTTGTTGGACACTGGGGCGTTACAAATGCATAGGAGTAACCAAAATTAAAGAAATGAAGACTTCAACGAGGAAAGAAGTTATTTGTCATAACCATAGAATCCTCAACGATCATATTCGTTATCAAAACAAAGCGAAGGTGCTTTTGTTTTTAATAGAGCTATTCCATGCTCGAGAAATGTTATATTATCGTGGCATATTTTCCGTCTACTTATCAAACGACACGTTGTTTGGGATGATATGTATTTAAACGATTGAAAGCTCGAAATGGTAATATTTCATTGATATCAATAAAAGCTACATCTCATACGGGAACTGCCTGTGTCCCAATGACACTACCCTGATTTCCACTTAATTCCTTAAAAAACGATTGCGAGATGTACATTAAACAATAGGTACTTTAAAGAATAGAATCAAAAGTTTCCTTATGATTGAAAAAGTCAGAAGATTGGACTATGTTTTTTTTCGAAACAAAAACAAACCACTGACAAAACGTTAAAACAGAAACCTGACACTGAAGTGAAGAGGGTATCTATTCTTGTTTTGCGCAGGGATTTTTTTTTTTGAAACCTGAGCTCCTTCCGGATCTTTGATTCAATCACAATTTGATACACATATGCATTGCCATGGTAACTAGAGGAGCAGTACATCCCCCTGAAGCCGCCCCCTGATACCATTTCTTCAAAACAAGTTTTGTTTGTCTCTCGGATTTGTTAAAATCTAAATTATCTTCAGATGTAAAGTATATACATAGCCATAATATAGAAAGAAAAATAACTGTCAGCAAACCAACGTCGATGGCAGAATTCAATAAGTGATTAGGAAAGGCTTCAGACTCGACACCGAAGGGGTCCTAATCAACCACGCTTTCAAGATAGCTGTTGATTCAAGGACTTCGTTGATCAAATTCCAATTAGGCAAAGGTGCAAAATCCACCGCTTGAAGATGGGCGAAACGTCTCATGAACGATCAGTTGGATTGCTAACGCTAAGCGAGGGTGACATATTTCAAGGATAGTTAATCAATGACTATTCATTAATTGAGTGTATTAACCTGTCTCACCAAGGAAGTGAACACCGTTTCATGGATCCACCCATAATGCCTATTAGGAACGTATTAATTTTGGTCTTCAGGTGTTTTAGGTTCTGTACGTCTGGAGCCAATTTAGACTGTTGTTGTTATTATTTTTTTATTTATTTCAATACGGTAATAATAAAACATGCTTTCAGCCGCAAGGCTGTTTTTTCACCAAGTCCGTAAACAAACGAAGTCAACATTACAAAAATAACATAGCATTTACAAATTTATTTACAAAAGATATATAAAGATTTACAAAAACTAAATACAAGTTATACACAAATTATTTTAACAACAAACAAATTTGAGTAGAGATAACAGAGATAGAAAGGAAAATAGAAGAATCAGACAAACGGTATTTACGAACAAAAAGTATCATGATCAAAATATAGTTGAGGGAGGTTATTCAATGATTAACTGGCAGTTTAAATTGTGTTTGTTTTTTTTAAAGTTAGTTTGAGGTTTGGCACTGTCACTATTGACTGGTTAAAATCCTGTTTCATATAAACTCTAAAAGCAAAAGAAAAAAGCTATGTTTACTTGTCCCCAATATTAGGTATAACTATTATACCCAACATCTTGTATCGCTCTCTGTGTCTCTGTTTCTATCTTCCTTCTTTTCTCTCTGTATCAACCTTTGTGGATATGCATACACCCCATCTCCGCTCTTTCAAAGACCAAAATGTTTAAAAACTAGAAAACGCCATGGAG